GCAGCAGCAGACGAGGACACCTGTGCATCCAACACAGAGCAACGGGGGAACATGGGATTAGCGCCAATGAGCCTCGACAACTCATCATTCGGGCGACACAATCAGGCGCCTACCTTTGCGCCTTATCACTCTTCGCCAGGGACGTTCGAGTTCATGCCGCCCCGTGCTCAACCGACAGCAGCTGCATCACAACAGACACCAAACGAGATATTGAATCTCCAGGCGCAGTTTTCACATGTGATCAAACTGCAGACATCTTCACCATTCAACGGGCACGACTTCTTTATGTGGAGTTTTGAGTTCGAGCTACTGATGGAGGCCGCGCACCTCCTGGGATACTTCAACGGGTCCTTGCCATTCCCAAGCAATGGCACTGCAAAGGAGCAGGAAATCTTCACTTATCAGTCACTGCTGGCATACACAGTTCTCCTGCGAAATCTGTCACCACAAGAGCAACACAGCATCTGAACGTATGGGAGCTACGGAAACTCCGCGGAACTCGCCTGGCATCATCTGACGTGCCTCTATCAAGCAAATGACAGTGTGACACAAAGCAAAATCATGCAGCAATTGACCACAATACAAATGAAGACGGGGGAAAAAGCGATGCAGTATATGAGTCGTTGCCAGACACTCCGCGACCGCCTGCTCCTGTGCGGAGGTACAATCATTGAAGAAAGCTTTGTGACACTTGTCCTCGCCGGGCTCGAACCAGAATGGAGAACCACGCGCTCGCTTTCTCGCGCCCACAGACGAATTTCCGAAATGCACCTCTGCGTCGACAACTTGGGATACAATCTACTAAGCGTCAGCCTGTTAATGGCGAAGGAGATTCACCTGGAATGCGACTCGGATGACAACGAGTTTTGCCTTTACCACAGGAAGGGCGGCCTCTTCATCAGTCGCGCTCTCTTGAAGTTGGGTGTCTTCGTGCTGGATTTCGTCCCAGACCGCGGTACTGCCGACAGCGATGGCATCATGTCGTTTGCCACCTGGACGCACCCGCCAGATCTTGACCCCGACTTTACTCCAGACGGCTTCTGGTACTCCAACACCATCCCTGCAGCAGAAAGAACTCGAGCATTAGCAGTCATCCGACAAGAACGACAAGTACCACCAAGCGTCCCTCAAATGACATCACCGTAGTAGCAGCAGCAGGACCCAGCCGTACGCCATCACCAGCAATTCGAGGACCGCCATCCGAAGCAGATCAAATCATGCCCATAACACGAGGAGTCTGCCGCAGTCCTGCAACGGTCGTCGCATTCTTCTCCAACGCCGACATGTACCAGCGCTCACCCGGCCATCGCGCTCCCGACGACATCTGGCATCAACGCCTCGGGCATCCTGCAAACAGCACAGTGCTACAAACCATACAAGCCGGAGTGTTAGAAAAGAACGCTCTTCTTACAACGAGCGTCCAGGAACTTCTACGACCCCACGCAGGATGCTTTTCGTGCCTCGAAGCCGATCTTCTCCACCAACCTTTTCCGTCGCACCACAATCCAAGCGCACCTGCATATGCACCGATGGAAAAAGTCTACAGCGACATCTTAAATATGCCTCGAGACGACAGTGAAGCAGAGTACAACTATGTTATAACGTTCATCGACGCAGCTACATGATACGTCTGGCACTACAACCTCAAGACACGAGATCAAGCGTTCGAAGCCTTCACGGCATGGCTGCCCATCGCTGAACGAGAATCGGGCTCGCAACTCAAGAGCTTCGAGTCAGACGTGGCACTGGAGTACCAGTCACCACAATTCAGGAACTACTTGGCAGAAAGAGGCATCAGACGCCTGGTGTCCCTGCCCTACGCTCACCAGCAGTAGGGGGTCGCAGAGAGGATGAACCGAACTTTGCAGGTGACGATGCGGAAGCTGCTCCTGGGGATGAGACTGCTCAAGACGCTTTGGCCTGACACGATGACGCATGCAGTCCACCTGCACAATTTGCTGTCCGCGTCATCACTTCCCAACAGCGCATCACCACACCTGCTGTGGACAGGAAAACAGGGCAGCACAAAATTACTTTGAGTCTTCGGCTGCATGGTACAGTACAGACCCCACACAGCCCCAGCAGGTCGATTCTCTCAACGAGCACGATGAGGACTACACCTCAGCATCGCAAAACATTTCCAAGCATGGAAACTTCTCGACATCCAGGACAAAACCACCATGGCCTCACGTGATGTGATTTTCTACGAGCGATGGACGCTGCAACATTACCTGGACAACATCGCCAACACAGACGACCCCACCGATGGCTTTGAGGGCCATCGGTCCTTCGCCGACCGTGCTGCCAAAGCTGACGCAGCAGAAGAAAACGTACCTGAAGCCTCGGAAGTTGCCGGACCACTCCCTTACTACTCCGTGCCCGTTCCACTCGACGACGACAATCCTCTCGATAGTAACAACGTCGACACCTATTACCACTTCGCTAACCAGGGTTATGCTACACCTCAACCGATCGACACAAATGTCTCTGAACGCATCGGATCAAATTTCTTACCTGATCGCGAAGACGGTGACGAAGCAGCTTATCCCGAGAAGACCAATTCCCCTCGACACACACCCACGGGCCTGCAGATACTTGGACTCTGGGTCGCCGTCCAGAGCCCGCCCCCACCGTCACCACGCGAGCCATCGACTCTGTCGCAGGCTCTAGGGGGGGAACACAAGGCAAAATGGAAGGAAGCAATGGAAAAGGAACTGAAGGCCCTGCAAGACCGAAATACGTGGAAGTTGGTATCTGCGACAAAAACCAACGGGAAAAATGTGCTCTCGGGGAAATGGGTGTACCGCATCAAGACCAATGCGGATGGCTCAATCGACCGCTTCAAAGCTCGCTGGGTCGTACGAGGATTCGACCAGCGATATGGAACCGACTACACGGAGACATTCGCCTCGGTTTCCCGACACACTTCCGTGCGCATTTTGCTCGCCGTCGCGGCCACGAAAAAGATACCACTACGCCAGATCGATGTCGCCAACGCCTTCCTGTATGCACCTGTGGATGCCGAAATCTTCGTCGAACAGCCCCACGGACTCATCTACGATCCCGCAATGGTGTGCCAGCTGGTGAAATCCCTCTACGGAATTAAACAAGCCCCGCGGCTCTGGCAGCAGCACCTCCACGATCGCCTCGTCAGGATCGGATTTCTGCAGCTGCCGGACGGTCAAGGCATGTACCGACTACAGAAGGGGGGGGATTTCGTCCTACTCATCGTCTACGTCGATGATCTACTCTACATCGGCTCCACTACCGACGTCACCACCTGGTTCGAAGGGGAGCTGAGGAGGGATTTAACACTCACGGTGTCAGACACGATGAGCCAATACCTGGGTCTAAACATCGTCGAAGACGACTCAGCGCTCTACCTACACGCCGGAAAATACGCAGGCGTTGTCACGAAGAAATTCGACCTAACGCCAGTCACTGTCGCAACTCCCTACCGCTACGGGAACAACAGCGACACCTCCGCAAAACTCCCCGCGAAGCAAATCCAAGAATATCAACAGAAGCTCGGCTGTCTACTGTTCGCAGCAGTAACCTGTCGACCGGACCTGTCCTACAGCGCAAGCCAACTGGCGACACACCTGAAGCAACCGGAGCAAGAGGATCTCGAGGAACTAAATCGGGCGCTGCTCTATTTCGTCTCTACACCGCCAACTGGACTTACCTACAGCAAAGTAACAACATCGTCCGTAAAACTACTCGGCTATGTCGACGCCGACCACGCGGGAGATAGGGAGAACCGTCGCTCCAGAACGGGCTACATCTACCGACTAGAACCTATCGGGACTATCTCCTAGCAATCGAGCAAGCAGGAATTAATTGCGCTATCTTCGGCTGAAGCGGAATATATCGCTCTCTGCACTGCAACCAAAGAAGGACTTAACCTGCGGGAGCTGCTCGAGGAAGCGAAAATTGCGACCATGCCCGCCTTCTCGTTATTCTGCGACAACCAATCCGCGATCAAAATCGCGAACAAAGTCGGGTTCGCCAATCGAACCAAGCCCATCGCCCTACGGTACTTCTTCGTCAATGATGAGATCGCGAAAGGGAGACTTCAACTCAGTTACTGTCCTACGACAGAAATGGCTGCAGATTAATGGACGAAAAAACTGGCGAAGGCAAAGTTCGATTACTACATGCTGCTGACCGGGCAGATAAACGTCACCGAACCCGGACACGTCAGCACTCCAGAAACGAAGGGGAGTGTTGGAAATATCTCGATGACTTAAGCGTTTCTGAAGTGTAACACTACACTCGAGGAAAGTCGTAACGGGTACGCGAGTCAACGGAGGTTACACGAGGAGATGGACGAAAGAACACGAAAGGACGAAAAGGACTCGAAGGGTCGCAACCGGAGGTTGCGACTGACCGTTACAACTGCAAGGGTGGTAACCGAACCGACAATCGAGTCGATGTGCGACTCGATAACCGTTCCTTCAACTGTATTCTACAACTGCTTCACCTTCCTATTTTCTATATATTGCTGTATGCTTGTTTCTTTAAATCAATCACTTGCTCTCACATATTAGTGCAAGGGTTCAACTACTCAATACTTCCGCTGCACTACTCAAACCTTGTACAAGTGGACTTAGTCTCTGGAAAGATCCTAAGGGCTTTTTCTCAGCCCAACATCCAGCTGCGGTACTTCTTGCTGCGTGAGTTGTAGTAACGCGGCCAGGCTCGAGTGGTACACTTGGCCTCAGAGGCCAACAACGCTGATATCTTCACCAAGGCACTTGCGCCTCGTAACCATCAGCGGTTCCTTTCTCAGCTTGGTCTCGTCTCTGTAGCAGCACCACTCCTTGTATCCTGAGTCATACTATACCTGATTGTACAGTACTTGTTGTTCTATACCCGCTTGTCTTGCTAAACTTGTTGACTGGCCTCGTGGCCTCTTGTCTCAGTGGTCAGACTATTTGTGCTGCCCTGGTGTACTCTGCCTTATTAGTATGAGCTGCCACTATCTAGGCTAGGGGGTGTGTCAACAAAAATATTTATATAGATCAGCTAGGTCATATTTGTTTATAGCCTAGCTAGTTTAGTTCTTAGCACAGCTCTCGTTTTGTATCCCAACTTTCCCACTACTCTAATACAAACCATTGTTACAGCTACAGTGCGTACATGTAATTTATGATACTACAAAGCAGCACTCCGTCTCATGCTCCTCAGCTCAGCCAAGGGCCCCTTTGGCAAGGGCCTCCTCCTCGCCAGCCTCGCCTGGCAGCCACACAGCGGCCTGCGAGAGAACGTCAGCCAGCACCACCGGGCGGCCCGTGTCAATGGACACGTGCGCCGCTATGCCCATGGCCACAGCTACGCGCCCCGCCTCCAAGCCCGCCAGGTGGTGCGCCGCGGCAGCGGGGCCGGCGATGGCACGCAGGAACTGAAGGTGCTCGATAAAGCTGGCCCCGTGGTGCAGCCCCTCGTACCTACGCGCAGCGCAGGGGACACAGGAGGGCGTCATAGTGGGCAGGTGTGCGGTGCGGGGGAGATGGAGCGTATGAGGCAGCTTCAAGCAGCTGATTGTGGAGCAAGAAAGGACATGTAGCCACAAAGAGGCAGGTGCAGTGGTGGCAGTGTGCGAGCATCCAACATGAGTTCAGGATGAACAGATTGTGGGCTGCATATGTGTGTGCGCACATGCTACGCCTGGGGTGCGTGCACATGCAACGCCTGGGGTGTGGGGCAGTGAGGGGAGAGGGAGCTCACTGGATTCTGTCATCTGTGCACGTGCGGGTGACAACGCCAACCCTGCCGCCTTCTCTGCTGCCCACCCTCACTATGCCCTCCGGGACCAGCGCCTCCACCTGCACAATGCAAGGAAGCAGGCCAGTAAGCGGGTGTGAGAAGGGCACGGGACACAGGAGCAACAGCAGGCACTGCACAACCGTGCACCAGCCCTCAGCCAAGATACACCATGAACATTTCTTGGAACTCTATGCCCGCTGGGTGCTACATAAGGCTGCACCCTTGTACCTCACCTTGCCCTTGCCCCCCACCATGCATGTCTCACCTGGCCCTTGTCCCCCACCACGCATATCTCACCTTGCCTTTGTCCCCCACCACGCATGTCTCACCTGGCCCTTGTCCCCCAGCACCCATGTCTCACCTGGCCCTTGTCCCCCACCACGCATGTCTCACCTGGCCCTTGTCCCGCACCACGCATGTCTCACCTGGCCCTTGTCCCCCACCACGCATGTCTCACCTGGCCCTTGTCCCCCACCACGCATGTCTCACCTGGCCCTTGTCCCCCACCACGCATGTCTCACCTGGCCCTTGTCCCCCACCACGCATGTCTCACCTGGCCCTTGTCCCCCACCACGCATGTCTCACCTGGCCCTTGTCCCCCACCACGCATGTCTCACCTGGCCCTTGTCCCCCACCACGCATGTCTCACCTGGCCCTTGTCCCCCACCACGCATATCTCACCTTGCCCTTGTCCCCCACCACGCATGTCTCACCTGGCCCTTGTCCCCCACCACGCATGTCTCACCTGGCCCTTGTCCCCCACCACGCATGTCTCACCTGGCCCTTGTCCCCCACCACGCATATCTCACCTTGCCCTTGTCCCCCACCACGCATATCTCCTGCTCGTTGCGCGAGCCCTCAGCAAACATGCAGAGGTCCAGACACGCCCGCCCGCCCCCGCTGTACTCCACGATCACATACGCGTTGTCCAGGATGTCCGACGCCTGCCATGCCATGCCATGCCACGCCATGCCATGCCATGCCATGCCATGGGGGGAAGGCGATACCACAGGGGACGAAAAGCAAGTCAGGCCACACGAGGGACACAAGCAGAGCAGAGCAGCAAGCAGCAAGTCAGACCGTCTGAGCAGCTCAAGTGGTTGGTGTGTGAGTGAGCTAGCTTCTCCCCCCCTCTCTCCCTACGCGATTCCACCCCCTCACCTTGCCGCCGTACTCCTCGTCGAGGTGGTTGACGCTCTGCGCGCCCGACGCCATGACGCGCGTGGGGGTGTCGTGGAGGATGAGGTTCATGAGGTCGAAGAAGTGGCAGCACTTCTCCACCAGCGTGCCGCCGCTGTTGGCGCTGAACCGGTTCCAGTCGCCCACCTGCCATGCAGCAACACACGTTCGTGGATTTGTCAGGCACGAGAAGCTCTGAGAGCCAAACTGATGCAACATCAGCAAAGCGTATGGCATGGCCTTGCATGGTGTGGCATCGCCTTGATGGCACGGCATGGCATGGCATGGAATGGCATGGCACAGCATGGCATGGCACGGCATGGCACGGCATGGCATGATATGGCATGGAGGACATGGGATGGTACAGCATGGCACGGCATGGCTTGGCATGGGGCGGCATGGCATGGCACGGCATGGCATGGCACAGCCCAGCATGGAATGGCATGGCACGTCATGGCATGGCAAGGGATGGCATCGCATGGGGGCAGGGTGCACCTTGACGAGGAAGGGGAAGCGGTGCTCGCGGATGGCCACCATGTGCACGCGCCCCACGGCCCCCCCGCGCACCTCGTGCAGCAGCGCGGCCACGGGCGGCATGAAGCGGTACTCCAGCCCCACCTGCACCACGCCTGCTGAGGGCGGCTCGCGCGCGGCCGCCAGGGCAATCACCTGCTCAAATGCAGGCCAGCAGGCATGCAGGGCAGCAGGCATGCAGGGAAGCAGGCATGCAGGGCAGCAGGCATACAGGGCAGCAGGCATGCAGGGCAGCAGGCATGCAGGGCAGCAGGCATGCAGGGCAGCAGGCATGCAGGGCAGCAGGCATGCAGGGCAGCAGGCATGGGGAAACCAGCACGATTGGTGCTGAGAAGTGAGCAGCAATGGGAGATGGATGGTGAGGGGATAGAGAGTACTTTCACAGTATTAACACTCTCTTTGTGAACCCCCATGTAACACCCCCAATCCTCCCCCAGTGATTCCTGTCATCATCGCTCACTCCCCCGTTTCCAGCCCCCCCTCCCCCCTGTGCGAGCACCACACCATGTCGCAGCCCCTGACGGTGGTGGCGAGGGGCTTCTCCACCAGCACGTGGTGGCGCCGCGGGTGCCTGAGGATGGCGGCCAGCAGGGCGGCGTGGGTCATGTTGGGCGCCGCCACCACCAGCACGTCGCACTCGCACGTGCTGCTTGCCAGCAGGCTGTTCACGTCGGGAAACACCTGGGAAGGGGTGGAGAGGGAAGGGGTGAGTGGTTGGTAATGAGGTGATGGAGAAGCACTTATGCTGCACATACCTGCCGGGGACTCTCCACCTGCCATCTCCACGCCCAAGGCACGTCCCCTACAAGCCCTCCTGTCTTGAACATGTGCACCAGCAGCACAGTGCATCTCATGCCTCCAGTTGCTCCAAACCCTCACCTTCCTTCCTCTGCTGCCCCTCACCTTCCTGTGCTGCCCCTCACCTTCCTGTGCTGCCCCTCACCTTCCTGTGCTGCCCCTCACCTTCCTCTGCTGCCCCTCACCTTCCTGTGCTGCCCCTCACCTTCCTGTGCTGCCCCTCACCTTCCTGTGCTGCCCCTCACCTTCCTCTGCTGCCCCTCACCTTCCTCTGCTGCCCCTCACCTTCCTCTGCTGCCCCTCACCTGCACGTTGCTCCACCCGGCAGTGGCAGCAGCCGCCAGCCCCTTGGCCAGCGAGGGCGGGTGCGGGTCGGCGAGGGCCACCAGCTCCACGTGCACGCCGCCCGTGAGGGGGGTGCGGCCCGCCATGGCGGCCAGGTTGCGGATGTGCTCCTCGCCCATCATGCCGCACCCCACCACTCCGTACCGCACACACCGCCCACCGCCCTCCACGTGTTGGTCGTCCATGTGAGGCGGATCCAACCAAATGAAGCTGCAATGCGGCACTCCGCTGCTGGGAGTGGTGCTGCTGCCACGACATGGGGCGTCGCAAGGGAACGGGGGCGGGGGGATGACTGTAACTCAAATTGCAGTGCCAGCATGGCAGAAGACTCATCAAATGACCACTGCTTGGCAAGCACGGACAGAACCTTGGCAAATACCCGTCCATGAACGAGTTTGAATCCGCCCTTTGATGAGGCTTCACCCTTGGTTCTGAGAGGGCATGCCGTTTGCCGCCAGGTCCAACTTCAGTCGAATAGCGCAGAATATTCACGGCGTGGATTCAACCTATCGGATTCGGAGGCCCCCGCTTGTGATTGGTGGGAGGTGAGGGATGGTGGGACGTTGTGAGGGGCATTGTTGCTCCGACGCCATCGGGTGCGACAGCCGGTGAGTGGGGAACAGAGCAGCTCAATGGAGACGGCGAGGCGCTTGAGGGGACACGCACCTATGGGGAGGTTGATGGCTGTCGTGGGGTGGCAGGCAGGCGGCACGCACTCAATGGGGATGAAGGCGAGGGACCGCCCGCCTGCCCACAGGCACCGCCTCTGACGTCCGTCCGTCCGTCCGGCCGTCCACTCGTCCGTTCCGTCTGTCCGTGCCTCACCTGCTCACCCTCTGCACGTGGAAGTGCGGGAGGGAGACGGAGAAAGGGGGGAAGCTGAACAAAGTTGAAATGGCATGCATTCGAAAGGTGATAGTCCTTCTGGGCAGCTCGTGAGCTGATGCAATGGAGGGATGGAAAGAGTGGTGGGGAGGGGAGGAGAATGGGAGGGGGGAGAGGGGGGGGGGGGGCGGTGGGGGAGGGGGGAGTAGGGGAGGTGAAAATGAAAGCAGCTTTTTCTTAAATGTCTCCTCAGAGTTGAGCTCGTGAGCTGCTGTAATGGAGGGGGGAAGGGAGGAAATGGGAAGGGAAAGGCACGAGGGAGGTGCAGGGGAGTGGGAGCGGGGCAAAGGGGGAAAACGGGGGAGCAGGAGCACGAAGCAGCTCTTTCCTTACGGGCCTCCCCAAGCCCCACCTTGGCAGCCGCTGCACGTGGGGTATAGGTTGGTGTGCGTGGGAGAAGCTAGTAGGTCAGGAAGGGGTGGAAGGAGAGACAAGGGGGGGAGATCGTGAGGAATGGGTCGGTCCTGCGGCGAGAGACGAGACGAGAGAGCAGTGTGAGGAGAGGTGCTGGGCAGGGAGTGGGCGCCGAGGAGAGGTGAGTGTGTCGCGAGAGGGTGGGTGCTAGGGTGAGAGTGAGTGAAGCATTGGGTGGTGCGGCGGACCAGCGGAGAGAGGTGAGAGGAGAGCAGCGAGGGAGAGGGGGGTGCGAGGCAGGGTACCTGAAGAGGGGAGGAGGTGGGGCGGAGAAGCTGCTACGCAAGGTGGGAGGGGAGGGCAGTGGGGGAGTGGGTGCTAGGCTGTGGTTGAACATCGGGGTGAATGAGCGGGTAGGCGTGGGAGAATAGAGCGGGCAGGGGGGGAGAAGAGAGCGGGCAGGCGAAGAAATTAAGCGGGCAGGCGGGGGGGAATGAACAAGGAGACAGGAAAAAATCAGCGGGCAGGCGGGGGGAATTGACAGGGCAGGCGGGGGAAGCGAGTGGGAGGGTGGGGGGAAGCGAGTGGGAAGGGGGGGAAGTGAGTGGGAGGGCGGGGGGAAGTGGTGGGAAAGCGGGGAGTGGGGCGTACCTGGGCGAAAGACGAGAGGCGCAGTTCAGCGGGTGGTGGAGAGGTTTGCTTGGGATTGGGTGACTGGGGTGTTGACAGGCGCGTTCCAGCGGCGAGTGATGAGGGGGGCGTCGCGCGCGGGTCCCTGCACTGTAGCCTTAACCCTAGACTTATTGGATTGGCGGCAACGATTCGCACTCGCCTTCCAGGCCCCCTCCACACGTCCCTCCTCGACCTCGCGCGTCGCTCGGGCTGTACCCCGCGCAGTTTTGCGCGTGGCTGTCCACCCGCGCTACCCGTGCGTCGTCACAAAAAAAGGATCCCAACAAATTTGCCCCAACACTTCCAAAAGACTCTTCTGCAATGTTAGGGCGTGTAACATTTTCTCGAACCATCACAGTAAGTCCTACCAGAACGCATTCAACCTTTCTGAATGGTCGACCCTGATGCATGTTCGCAAAAATGTTCACGCCCTTATGCAGACCAGGGCCCTGTTCGATAGCCCTGACCGTCCCACGGATCTAGGAGAGGACATACAGTGCAAACGGACGTCTCTGTAGCTCACGGTAAACGAGCCTCGAGCAATTCACGACAAACTAACCACGTGCCCGTTGACATTGTAATGTCCACAGGCAGCAGTAACATGAAACACGATGTGCAGCTTCCAAATGCTTACGAGGAAGCTGACTTTCGGAATTGCGGTATTTGAAATGTGGGGGCCGTTCGCTGGCCATTTTTTCACCGGCACGGCAAGGGAAATCAGGCATGTGGGACATCGATCGAGGCTTCGTGGGTTTGCCGAGCCCAATTTGCGAAACGTGACGCCAGCATGCGAAATCGTCGCGTCGGTTCGGTTTCCCCAAACCGACGGCCCCCAAACCGCGTGCCCCTTCTCATGCCAAACCCGAAGCGTGACCATCAGCCGCCCAGAGCTGCCAGGCAAACACCAATGTCACTCCGTACCACACCTCATACTGCAAAATCGTGGTATGAGGCAAGCCAAGATTGGCATGCCTCTTGGCTGGGCAAGTTTACGATATCAAAAAAAAAAAAAAAAAAAAAAAAAAAAAACCGCAGCTCACGCTTGTCCCTCACAACCAGCGAACAACACAGCCACTTCCCCTCCAACCGTACCCGTCAATCTGCGTAATTGCGTCACCTTGTACCCATCTATCTGCGCTGTCGTGCAGACTACTAGCCGCTCCTACCCAACCGATCTGAGATTTTGAAATGTAAAAAAGAGGGCAAGTTTTGACAAAATTGTGTGAAACGCATTTTCTCCGCTAGATTTTCGACGAAAGTGCGATGGGCTAACAGGGCTTTTGATGGGCCCCACTCTTCGTTGTCCACGAGTTTGTCGTATCCAGGCCTGCAATCGTGACCGACGTAATCATGAGCCAGCAACGTTATGATTACCAAAGTACTGGGGCACACACACAAAAAAACTACGTAGGTTTGGCTGCGCAAATTCCATGCGCACGGGATTTGGACGCCCGTTCCCCTTCCCGTTCCCCTCAGCAAATTGCCAGCGAACGGCCCCCTGGAGGGGAACACATTTTATAGCTCGAATCTGGTTGTCCATTGGTTGTTCGAAGCTGGTGAAGTTTGCAGACCAACCCCCTGCATGGGTTCGCGAGGGGATCAGTTTTCTCTAGGAAAGACGTGAGAAATACTGCTAGAAGGGATGAGGTGCGCACAAGGGGGGAACACAACTGTAGTGGTTGCCTCCGAACGAGGTCTTCTGGCTCGACCATACCTCGCCGGCTGGTTCCATCAAAACGAGCCTCCCGCTGGTTGCGCGAGCCTAAACCCAACCTTATGTCGCAGTTGCGACGAAAAAATCCCTGCCTGGAACTTACAAGGAACAAGGCCCCGTCGAACCGGGCCGAGGAAACTTAAGGGCGCGGAACCGAAGGAACGAACAGGGCTCAAGCTTTTACTGTAACCTTCGAAGAAATTAAATCGGTGCAAATTGTTTTCGTTGTTTGCAAGCACTGTTCAAATCGGTGAAAATCGGTGGAAATGGTATGCTCACACTGCCATGCCCAGTGCGTCCTCATCACAAACACAAACGTGATAGCGGAACGCGTCCGCACACTAATATGACACATGAATTCAAAACAAAATACCTTGTATATTCATCACCAGCGCATAGATTCAAGCCTTGTTCGCATTAAAAAAATAAAAAAAAATCCATTCTAGTACAAATCCAAAAGGGGAATCACGATGTTTTGCAATGAAAATAATAAGCTACCTGAATCCCCGTTACGTAGGCGCATCCCTTTGTTTGGCCTAATGCACTAATGGAGCGAAAATATCCTTATATTTGTTATTTTTGGCGCACCCACTTTTTTTTAGTGGTATCTTCTATAGGGGCACCTGTTATCTCTACTGTGTACTATCGAAATGAACTCTATCAGTATTTTTCACTAATCTGTCAATAAAATAAATAAATAAAAACAACAAATATACTTGGCCTAAGCCTTTGCAGCCTAATCAGTATAAGTCTCGCCTTCGGAGACACACGCGTTGGCCCTGAAGAAGCCATCGACAGCTACTTAATCATGACACTCTGTCGAGAGACCCGCTGGTGTTGCCCTTGAGAAGATCCTCGAGGAAGGGCCACAGATGCAGAGCATGGGGGGTTGTGGGCGCACTAACCCACTACGTAACATTGTCAAACATAGTTAGGTAGCTAGGGAAGCCATGGAATGGCGTGAGGTTTTAGGTGCTAGTGAAAAATATCGAGAGAGAAGAGTGTTTGGAATAGAAGAGAGAGAGATACAAGAAGGGGGGTTGTACCCTTTACAGTAGGAACCAGTAACACCTACCAAGCCTACCATTATATATATCAAATATATAATTTAACACACCCCCTAGGCTTGGTAGTTGAAAGCACACCACACACACAGCACACTAAGCCACACACCCCCTAAGCCTATCCACCCCATACTCAGCAGCAGCGACAGCTACTCCAGCATGGTCAACCCCTCGGCGCGTGAGGCGGCAACGTCAACAGCGAGGGCAGCGGCTGCAACGGCGGCGACGGCGGCAGCGGCGACAGCGGCGGCGTGCGGCGGCGTGGCCAGTGGTACCAGCTGCGGCGGCGGCGGTTTCGACGACAGCTGCCAGTGGCGGCGGAGCTCGCAGCACTCGGCGGCGTGGCCGGGCTCCGCGACGGTGGGACGGCCGGCGCAAGTCAGCCGTCGGTTGCAGCGAGGAAGAGGGGATGCAGGGGAAGGGGGCGGAGCTTCAGCACCGGAGCCTAGGAGTGTGCCACTCCATGTGGCGCGCTGGTTGCATGCGGGCGTGCTGGCCAGCGCTAAGACCGGGCGCTAGCCATTGCCGTCCGTGCTGTCCGCGCGCTGGTGCGTAGACGCCGCCACGGCACCATGACGGCGCCGTCACGGCAGCACGACATGGCCGTGGCGGCGGCGCGGAAAGGACAGGAGCGAGGAGCGGAATGTGCGGAAGCGTGATGAGCAGGCCTGAGCAGACAGACCTGCTCTGAAACCATGTCAAACATAGTTAGGTAGCTAGGGAAGCCATGGAATGGCGTGAGGTTTTAGGTGCTAGTGAAAACTATCGAGGTTTTAGGTGTTTGGAATAGAAGAGAGAGGGATACAAGAAGGGGGGTTGTAGCCTCTATAGTAGGATCCAGTAATACCTACCAAGCCTACCATTATATATATCAAATATAATAATTTAACAAACATGCCCTTTTAACTCAGTGGTTAGTGACTGAGTTCTGACATGGTATCAGAGCGAGGATGACTTGGGTTCAATTCCCAGTGCCAGCGCTGCAGAGGCGCTCGTGTCCTCCGCCTATCCCAACGAGGGGGGGTGTCGACAGACCCGCTGGGGTTGCCCTTGAGAAGAGCCTCGGGGAAGGGCCACAGGTGCCGAGCCTAGGGGGTTTTGGGTGCACTAACCTGCTACGTATAGTAACACGCCCTTTAACTCAGTGGTTAGTGACTGAGTTCTGACGCACTCTACTTCATGCTCTTTCTTGGATCTTCAGAGGTTGTCCTTGCCCCCATTCAATGTGGTGCTAATGCCACATGTGAGGAAGGTTTCGAATAAGTTATGCAGGGCCAGCCTTCCACGCCTTGGCTATGCATTTGAGTGTCTAATCAACCAGAGGCTTCTTCAGGTTGTCTAAACAAGAAAGTGAGTTGGAGGTTAGTGTGAGGTAATAAATATCGTGGACAAAAACAAGAAGCGCAAACTCTCCCAAACTTGCTACAACCATCCAGCACAAACTACTCTCCAACCATCCAGCCCTCCAGCAGGGTTGTAACTCGCCTGCCAAAAGAGCACCCTCCCAGGTGACTGTCCCTCCTGCCTCCACCTCTATCGTCGAGACTACAGTGGCTGCTTCTGCCCTAGGCCGCTCCTCTAGCGACAAGGGCAAGGGCTTGGACAAGGGCCGTGGGGGTTCGGAAACAGTGGGTGGAGGGGGTGTGGGTGTAGATGGAGAGGGTGGTCAGTCAGAGTCGGGGACTGCGTAGCAGCAGCAGCAGTAGCTGCTGCCGTGGGAGCTGGGGGGCCCTGGGAGTGGTGGTCATGGTGGAGGCCGTGGAGGTTGGGCCCCAGGGCAATCGGTGCCTAGGGGGTCCCGTGGCTCCTTTGTAGCCACGGTGCTGGTGGTTCAGGAGGCACGGTGACCTGCATGTACCTGCTGCCCACCGGCCCGCAGGCGGGCCAGGACTGTAGGCGCTCGGGGTACACATCCGCTCGCTGCTTCCGTCGCCTGGACAACCTCTACTGCCGTCAGTTTGGCCCGCTGGTGCATGTACCGTCCTGGCCTGCCTTGCTTCGTCGTGGGATTCCTATCTTTGATATGGATATGATTCTGATCGATCACGCATTAAATTCTCTGTATGCTGATGACTCTAATGCTACTGGTTCTCATTATTCTGCTATTTGTGGCCTAGGAGCCACTGCTGTGTGCAGTCTAGGATCCCGTGCTGCGTTAGGCGTAGATTCTCCTGCTGCGTTAGGCGTAGATTCCCCTGCTACGTTAGGTGTAGGATCTGTTAGTGATTCTTCATTGGGCCCCTCCACGCCGGCCCTCTTCTTTAACCTAGACTATGGCGCATCTCGTTGATTCTTTAGAAACAATACAGCTCTCATCTCGCTTCCTGCACCTGTCCGCGTTGCACTAGCAGACTCCTCCGCCACAGATGTCGCACGCAGCACCACCACTCTCCCCTGTCCAGCTGTCCCCTTCGGCTCCCTCACCAGTCTGCACATCCTTTCTGTGCCAGGAACCTAGTGGGTGTCGGTCACCTCCAGAACCGAGGAGTCACCACCACGTTCTTCGGCTGTGAGAAACACGCAACTTGCACA